AGTATTGAGGAATAAAGTTTGAGTGAGCCCACTGCAACCAGGCAGTGTGGGCCCAGTCTGTGCAATTCAATCTTCATACTACAAAAGCATCTCAGAACAGTTAAACAAACAACACATTCCACTTCATTTGTGGCATTCTAAAATGGTCAGTTCTGATTACTATTTTACAGCCAAGGTAAGCTTTTTTTGATAGATCAGACAGATGTCTTTCATTGTTATGCTTCAAAAGGTTCTCAGAACATTTTATCTACATCAAAATTATGAATTTCTCCATTCCCCTCAAAGTTTTTTCAGCACAGATGATCCACCTTTCCTCTGATGGTAGACTTCAAACAAAACTCTGGCAAAAATTTCTGAATCATATTTGTCCAGTACTTACCTATACAGTAACTACTTAATTTTTTTAACCTTATGAAAATCATATCTATGTAGTATTTCCCTTTATTGGAGCAGTTAGAATACTGAAAGCCTAAAATCTATCTATCTATCTCTATTATCACAAGGAAGCCATGTTGAGCAAGGTCCTTGGGAATATAGTTAAATAGGGCACTATCAATGGGCTCCAGAAGCCTACAGATTCAGTGGACATATCTGAAAGAAATCACATAATAATCTACATAAAGGGTTCAGATAATGCATTTTACAGGTAGAACTAAAGTGTTCCAAACAAGTGGCCTCGGAGTTCTATACAGAACCAAAGTTACAAAGATTCTCACTTCCTCAGAAAAAGAATCTTGTTCCCTCTATATCCCCTGGTTCAGTCTACAGTTTACATGTGTGCTTAACAAATGATGCTGAGTGACAAATAGAAAAGAATGCTTTTCTTTGGCCTCCTATCAATCTGGTCTCTACACTACAGTCAGAGTGTTCGTTCTGAAATGTAAATTTGATAATGATGTCCTCCCCCTTACCTTCCACACTAAACTCCTTCCGTTGTTTTTTCCATCATTTTTTCAATAAAGACTAAAATTCTTAACGCTATGTTGGAAGGCCCTACAGGACCTGGCCCTACTGCGCTAAGAGTTCCACATTCAAGGGCCTTCCCTTAGTTTCCTGAATGTGCCATGTCAGCTCCTACACCGGGCTGTGACCTAACATTTCTCCTGTGTCTTTACCTGGCTAATTCCTTATTTCTCAGATTTTTGTTTAAGTATCACCCCTCAGGAAAACATTTTTTGATTAATTTGGTTCACACTATTTGAAATTCTTATACTACAAAGTACTTGTCCTTCAAAATATATACTATTGTTTAAAGTTTTCATGTGTTTACTTTTTTAATTACTGAGCCTCCTCACTGGAATGTGAGGCTTTTACTTTCCTATGAAAGTAGGAACTATTTCTAAGTTTATTCACAGTTGTATTGCTTAGGCCTATGATCAGGCACATGCAAAGCACTTAACACTTGTTGAATAAAGAAAAAAAAATGAATGAATGAGTGAATATGGTTGTCTATCTGGCAACATTCATAAAGTCATAGAAAGCAGAGGCTTCATTAAGTAATATCTATCAACTGTCATTTTCAGTAATATTAAGCAATCAGCCATCACAAGCCACTTGCGTTTCAGGCTATTTAAATAGAGGAAGTGAATAAAACTGATACTCAGTCTAGGATGACACTTTCATATAAGTGGCCCTAAAATGCATAAAACCTAGACTTGGAAATAATAAAATGGATAAATTAAGTTCTTACTGATCAGCCTTTTATTCTCAGTTTTTACTGGGTGGCCACAGAATTCACTAATTCTTTCAAGCTGCTAGGAAACTATTAGTGATCTTAAGTAGAAACTTATTAAATAATAATGACCCCAGGACACTTATATGGGTATGATTCACTGAAAAAGCTATGTATCCCATAAGTATCCATCATATACATTAGTTCTGTGTGTGTGTGTGTGTGTGTGTATTCTCTTGAATAATCACTGGATCTGAAACAATGATCAAATCTAATAAAATGGAAAGCATATTCAGCAGTCATGATAAATACAGGGCTTGAGAGTAAGAGGGTTGGTGCTCTTACCCAGGCTCTGCCACTAACCTGATCACGACACATAACCTTTCTGTTTTCTCTTTCCATCACCACATGAATAAATAAATAAAACTTGCCAGGCTGTCTGAACAAATGAGTAAGGATAAAAGTGAGCTCATTAAATGAAAATATTCTAGAAATCCATAGGTGCATTAAGTTGTTTAAAGGCATTCTAGAAAGAAGAGAATATTCCTAAATTTTCTTTTTAATAATTCTTATTGTATTTGGAATACAAAGGCAACTAAAATATTAGACTTTTTATCAAGTTAAAAAAAATTGTAGTTGGGACCAGATATAATTTGAAAATTATTTAATGTTTGCTGTTAATATTTTTTTCAAATTTTCTCAAATGACTATGCATTTGTTTTCAAATCACCATTTTTTTTTTAAATGTGGCAATCAGTGTAAATACTGGCTATAGGCAGGGTTTTGTTTATATTTCATCTGAATACAAATCATCTGTCCCTAGCCATCAATACATGATTGGTGTTGGGAGAGACTTCCATTCTCAATTAATTATTTAATAGTCACTTGACACACAAGAAACAGAGAAAATAAGCAAAATGGAGCCAATCTTTCTAGGGAGACTGGCTCTGCCTTTATCACTCCATTTTCCATTTCTATGATAATCAAAGGAATCCAGCCTTTCGTTTTCCTTTCATGACCAGTGGTGATCTCTGCACTCCATTTTTAGCTCGAATTTTCAAAAAGAATCAAACCTCTAGAACCATTCTGATGGATTTCCTTTTCTGGGTTGTATTACCTTATGCATCAGGTACTATACTGTCCAATTATATATATATCTAATTCCAGATTTTTCATCTCATGGAAAGAGCTATCCACTTGCAGAATGCATTTCAGAGATATCTAATTCTGCTTCTATTCAAAATATTATTTTTGCCATGCTTTCTCCACTCTTAACTGTTCCTGATTATGCACATCCCTGGATTCCTATGTTAAAAATGCACAGAAAAATAAAAATTTTCATTTAAAACACCCTCCCACACAGAACAAGCTGTCATTGTGTCATATTTGTTTCCTAATTTAAGGAAGGAAGTTATATTTCATGTGTTCTTCCTTAAATTGTCTGCTCCGTATTTTAAAGCAGCATTGGGATATTTAGAGCAATGTGTCCCATAAAATAATGTCCATCTTTTATTCATTTCTATGTATCAGTGCAGAGGTATGCAACTTCAAATTATACTACAGCAAACCATCAAATGTAGCTAACTTATACATGGTTTACAATCAAGTTAGATTTGGTAGAGAAAAAAGCATATACTGTTTCATTTTTCATAAGACATAACTATAAAACCTGATGCTAAATCCATGGAAAATTACCGATCAAGCTAAAGTGTAGTATAGGCCATGGGATACAGTCCTCTATAATTACTTAAGCCAAAATACATAAGAACAAAAACCTTCTTGGAGGCAAAAAGCAGTAAAATCACACCTTACTTTTTTTTTCATAAAACCAAGAAGGCTACAGAACTCTCCTAATGACTAGATTTTTTTCCCCTTTCTGCTGTGTAAACAATTACAAATTTTATCGAGTCTTCATTTCTCTTAAAGTCAGGTAAGAGAGAACTGCCAAGTCTAGTAAGATTTACAAGGGCTAGTTCCCCTTAGCAGTGTCAGCAATAAAAAAATAAAAAATGTCCAGAAGATATTATACAATAAAATACAGCCATACATAGAGTTTTTGTCCCTAAAGCTTTCAAAATAAGATTTAATGATTCAACTTTAAAAAACAGCCATAAATGCCATTTATCCATATGTTGTTGATTGTCTTGATTTGACCCGAAAACTATCTACTTTAAACCCTGACATCTCTCCTGCTCAGCCACAGATACATTCATATTTCTTTTTCATATCATTCACTTTTTGCTCACAGGCTTTCCTGTATTTACACAACAATATTTTTCTTTGGTCATTGTTATGTAGCAATATTGGAAAAACACATTGATGACTGAATTTTATGTATAAAAGGGAGAAAATTAAACTTAGAGGTATGAGGTTTTTTAATTCTACAGTTTCTATCCCTAAGAACAATAGCTTGGCCTCCATTACTCAGATAAATATCATTAGCTGAATATCCTTGGAAAATCTCTTGCAATGCTTCATATGCATCCCCTGTTTATAGCCTGCAGAAGCTTTCCAGTCCAACGTGTAAATCTCTCTACTATTTACCTTCCCAAGTCATCTGATTGAGAAATACGCTATTTAATCTCTAACACTTCTAAACATGAGCTGACCTCTCTCCCATTTCAAGAAACCACAGAAATAATTTGATTAAACCAACAAATGTTGGACATAGCCAAAGAAACTACCATTAACTCCAAGAACCCTCATCCTAATCAAGAAATTCTGCACCAGTCCTGCCCTGCTCCCACCTCCCTTTCCCCACAAGCACGAGCAGGGCTGGCCACTGGACTTGAAAAAGGCGCAGCTGTGTCAATGAATCCTGTCTCCCTTGTCCATTACCAACGACGTGGGGATTCTCAACCATGGTCAATTTCTCCTGACTTCATTTTTCACCAAACGTATGCCCAATCTGCATCTTACGAGGGAAATCCGTGTATTACAGACAGTGGTGACAGAGGAAAAAGCACCTTGTATGTTCTGGTGGGCCCCAGTCCAGTGAAGAGAGGGAGCGGCCTGGCAAAGAACCCGAGGAGTGAAGGGGCGAGGTCATTTTACTTGCCACTTGGAAGGCAGTAGGACTGGTGGAAAGGGCTCCCGGGGGGACTCTGGACCTGGAGATGGGGGCTGCTCAACCTTTCCCGAGGCCACGGGAGGGGCTGCGGGAAGTGAGAAGGCGGAGAGGCCGGAAACAGGTTTTCACCTGGACCCTAGGCGACACAAGCTCTCCAGAGAAGGAAGCCCGCATGCACCGGCCCCGGCCTGCCTCGCCCTGCCTCCCCGCGCCCTGCCCAGGCCAAGGCCCCAGGGCTCCAGCGTCGTCGGGCCTTACCTTGGCTGCAGTCTTTGCCGCGGAAGCCGGTTCGCGAGCAGTCGCACACCGCCTGGTCGTCCACCACGGAGCACACGCCCCCGTTGAGGCACACCCCGCCCTCGCCCTCCTCGCCCCCCTCGCACGGGCTCCCGCCACCGCTGTTGGGCGGCTCGTCGTCCAGCTTGACCTCGCCGCTGTCCACGGGCAGGGCCAGCGAGGAGTTGACCCGCACGTCGCGGATCCAGCCTTTGAAGGGCTCTCGCTCCCGCACGGAGGCCAGCGTGAGCTTGAGCGCCGCCGCGCGCAGTTCCGGGGGAAGCCCCCCGACGAAGAGGCCGCTGAACACCGTCATGTCCCGGCGCTTGGATTTGACCTCCACCCACTTGGCCTCCACCTGGTCGATGAAGAGCGTGGTGTTGCGGAACTGCCGGCGGATCCGCACGCTGTGCCACGCGCCGTCGTTGACCGGCGTGTCCGTCAGGAGCGTGGCGGGCTCGGCGCAGAAGATGGAGAAGCTGAGCTGCAGGCGGCCGCCGCGCGTCAGGATGAGCTCCAGGAAGTCGCAGAAGCCCTCGTCGTCGAAGTAGAGCACTAGGCCCCGGGCGCTGCGCGTCTTCAGCTGGAAGCTCATCTCGCTCTCGCAGCAGGCGTTCCACTTGGGGAAGCGCGTCCACTGGCCCTCAGCACCCGGGAACTCCAGCCCGCTGCCCAGCTCCGCCCAGCAGCCCAGGAGCAGCAGCGAGAGACACAGGAGAAAGCAGCCCCCGCGCTGGAGAAGCGCCGTCCCCATGCTCGGGGCTGGGGTGCGGCGGGGGGGTGCCGGGGCCGACAGGGTCAAAATGGTCTTGGACACCGTGGTGCAGAAATCGGGGTCCGGAAAGAAATCGGGCAAGGGGGCGGGCAGGAGTGGGAGAGATGTCCCCTCCTTTATCTAGCTCTTTTTTTCTTCTTCTTCTTCCAGCAACCCCTCCCTCTCTCCCTATAGTCCCCTCCCAACTGGAAAACGTAGACCCCAGTAGCACAGGGCAGCCACAGAACTTCCAGACCAAAGGGAGGATACACTTTGGAAGCAACGTTCTGGAAAAAGGTGTCAACAGAAAGTCAAGGGAAATCACGCATCCATTTGAGTCCGATGAACTAGTCCAAGGGCATCGGTGGGGTCGGCAGATACTTCAGTCTTCAAATACCATCATCTGCCAGGTATCAGCAGTGTTACCAGGCAAAAGGGAAACGGTGAGTCAGGTAAAAAGCAAACACTCTCCAGGGAAGTAAGATGCTGGCAATGAACCAGGATCGTTGAATGCTTGGTAACACCTCAGGTGTTTCTCCTCCAGATGCAGTGTCCAAACCAGTAAGGCACCACTTGTCAACCCCAGAGTAGCTTCAAAGGCCTGCTTCTTCTGCCATTATCATAGACTTCCAGTACCACTGTAGCCAAAGCAGAATTCCTTGCACATGGCCTCAGGGGCTGGGTTTTACTTCTCTTTTTCCCTCCCCAACAGTAGGGTTCAAACACAGAAGCTGTGAAATAGCCAGAAGCTGTTAGAGGTGGAAAGCACAGCAGCTCCTCTTCTCTCCTCTCCGCCTCTGCAAGGCCAAGCTAACATGCCAGCATATCAATTGGTCGTGTGTTGGTGATGCATTTTGGTTTTATTTTGTCTTTTTATAAGGACCCAGAAATCTGCAGAGAATTAAAATAAAAATTAAGTTCTAAAGTCTGAGTATCATATAATCGTTATTCAACCCAGAAATCAGGTATATAATTGCTGTTATTAGCAAGTCAGAGTTAACCTTATTGGAAGGAACTTATTTGTCCTGATCTATAAGTAAGAAGAACTGATGTCTCCTAATAGTTAATATCACACTCTTACAATTCAGCCATTACACCCTTGTAGGTTATTATAACCATTAATAGGTAACCCTCCCAAGGTTTTTCTTTTAAATAGAAATTTGGTTAATGTTATATTTTAATGTTTTAATGTTTATGAGAAAGTTTAAAATATATGAAAAGGAGAAGGGGGAGAAAGACTCTATTAGAAACTTCTCCTTATATGTGCACTGGTTATATGAACAATAAAAATACAGCCTATTTAAATCTCAGTTAATAGCTGATTTTACAACAGGCAAAGTGTACCAAACTATTGACTGGAAGCTTCCAGCATGGATTTGTGTAGCATTCCTACTCTTATTTTTCTCAGAGAGAGAAGAACACTGATGATTTCTTGGTATTCTTAAATTTCAAACAAGTATTTTCTTCCTTTTTATTGAAGGAATCATTCATTATAGGAGAAAATAACTCACTAGAGTCAGATGTCTGTTTTTGGCAGCATTTGTGTCTTAACTGCCATAATATTAACTCCTCTAAAGTCAAGTATTTAATATTTTGCCTAACAGTGCAGTGATCTTAACTCCTCTTCAAGACCTTTCTGGCTGTCGGCTCAGAATTTGTGTGGTTAGAATAGCTACTGTGTCAGCTTAGCTGCTATGGTTCAAGGAAGCTCACATTTAAAATCATATCTTTGAATTACTCACTCTACTATTAAATCATCTCACTTTATTCAACTCTAATCTGACAGGTTCTTATAATGGTATAGAACTCATACATAGTGAATTGTTTTTCAGGCTTTTTTTTTTTTTAAACCAAAAATTACTCTCATATTTTAACCAAGAAAATCACAATGTATCATCTGGTCCGGTTAAGAAAATATATGTATTTCCTTCACCATTTCCATTTCTCACTATCTCCCCCCGCCCAACACATACACAAACAACACACACAGGCACAGACACCAGTTTATTGCCTAGACACAGAAACTCACTATCCAATTAACACTTTTTTCCCTACAAGCTGAAACTAGCAGTAATTTATGGCACCGCATTGTGCTGCTACTCCTCCATGAAGGGAACTGAGAACATTTCTCTTCAATACAGAGCAGTCCCTACAGGTGTCATCTGAGAGCCACCAAGCTAGGGCATCCCACTTCAAGTTCCTCCCCAGATGAAATTGATGACTGGTTCCCTCTCTTTCAGCACACACACAAAACACTACACACTGCCCACTAGCAAAGGGAAATTAAAATCTCAGTTGCTTATTTATTACGGCTGATACATGCCACACCATCAGTAATCACCAGCCATATCTTGTCTACTCCTGCTCCAAACCCAAAGAAAAGTGCTCTTAAAAACCCTTCTAAGAAACATATTATTCAGAAGACTTTCATTTTTTAAGTGGACTCAGAAATCTGTGAAATTTTAGTCATTGTGAAATAAACCTGAAATTTCAAGATCAAGAGTAAGTGCTTTGAAACCATTTACAAGCTCCTGTGTTAGAAAACCATTTTTTTTTGTTAGTCAGTTAGAATCAATTGTTTTATTCATTGACATTCCATAGCTCATAAAGCCCTTCTTTACACCGCTCTCTTGCCCTCCTCCAACGATGCATATCTTGACAATTTTTTTTTAAGGAATGTAAGAGAAGGAGGAAAACATATATATTCTTACCACAGGGGAGGTCAACTGACTCTCCCAGTTCTTAGAGGAAGCTCATTGTGTGTGAGAGAGTATCTGTATTTATATGGAGAAAAGGATTCTCTCTAGGTGCCGGGAAAACCTGGCGAGTTCACAAATTAGAGGATAAAATAAAAGGATCTGAAAAACAACATCACTGCAGCCAAAGGAAGAAGCGCTCTAATTCAAAAGCCGACTAACAGCCTCATTAATCTTTTCTTTCATTTCTAGAATCAAATTCATTCCCAAGCCACTGGAAGGATCGATACAGTATGCTCATGGGCTGCAGTTGCATTTATTTTAATATGTTTATGGTAACACACACACGCACAAACACGCACACACCTTTCCATGCATCATTCAATATATCATAATAAAGAACCTGAAATCTTTGAGAGGATTTTTAGAAGCGCCTATCATTTCCCCCTGGATATTTCAAAGTCCCTTAATACCAATGCACACCCAAAATTCTCCCTGGCTTTCCCGCCCAGTCTCTAAGCCCCATCTCTAATACCAGTGCAGTTTCTTGGAGCCTGGAGTCGACTGCACAAATTAAGGCTAGGCACAGCATGGGGCTGATGGGGAAGGGAAAGAAAGATGTAGCTCTAGATGTATTTTATTGCTTTGGTTTCTAACTTGCCCGTTTTCTTTTTCTGCTAATAAATCACTGCATTCAGTCTTCAAGTTACTACCCCAGCTCCACCATCTCATCCTCTTGCCATTATTTAAAAAGCTTCATGCAAAACAACCAAGGTCTATACTCCTCCACCCTCCCACCACCCATCCTTCCCTGTGCATTTGTGGCAGATCCTGGCTCAATTACAATGGGGAAAGATATCCTTCTCCAGCTAGCCTCGCCCCATCCCCTCCCCCCCAACACCAACTGAGCTTCTTTACCTGCCCGGTTGTTCCCCCGTAGCTCGAGCCAGAGCTTGAGGCATGCAACGGTCAAAGCGAATTTCCTGAGGTCTGTGGATAAGGCGACTGCTGCTGCCTTTTGAGAGGCGTCAGGCTTGAGCGTCTATCTCCAAGAGTGCGGGAGGGGAGAACAGGCAAAGGAGGGGAGCAGAAGGAGGAGGAGAGGGAAAGAGCTGGGGAGGAGGAGGCGGTCGTGGAGCCCGAGAAGGCTGGGTTACGTGACGTTGGGTGCTGTCCTTCTGAAAGAGAAGGGCGGAGCTGCGCTCTCCGCAGTACCATGGAGAGCGGCGGGCCGTCCCCAGACCGGGATACTGGTGGGCTCAGCCCGCCGGGCGCAGCCCCGCCCGGTGGGGATGCTGCGCAGTGAGGTGTGTTTCTGCCTTGGCTTCGTCCTCTTGCCGGGGGAGCCCGATCCTGGGGGCGGGGACCTAACGCAAGTGCTTCTAACTTGTCACCACCCACCCTCCCCCAAGAGAGAGAGGGGAGGTGGATATAGAAAAAGAGGAAGAGGAGAGAGCAGGAGAGAGAGAGAGAGAGAAAAGAAAAGAGAGAAACACGTAGCCTACTGAGCATGCCCAGGCCCCTGCTAGACCCACGGAAAGCTGAGTGGAGATTCCACTTCTCCGGGGTTTAGTCGTGATTGGGCAAGGGTATCTGAGAGGGTTGGTTCCAGGGCCAAAAGAAAGGGGCCGAGGAGTCGGTGATTAAGATGAGCTGTCGCTTTACTGGTGCCCTTTGATCTCTTGCTTGGAACCCTAGAAAAGCTGCAGCTCTTCGAGGAATGCAGAGACAGGCAAGGTTCACACCAGATCCACGGTTCCTGCCCCACCCCTTACAGCGGCCCCGGGATGAGTGATCACTTCAGATCTTCACGATCTGCCCAAGTTTTGCCAAAAAGATGCAAAAGGGACCCACCAGATTAACGTGCCAGCTTAAGCGCCCAGACTCATCTATTGGACAAGGAACTCTGGTGGTAGCGCCGCCTCATCCCTTCTCCTCCCCCAGCTTTCTGTGCCCTGCCCTGGCCATGGACATCCGGAGCTGAACCAAGTTCTGTTCCTGTTTAACTCTTCGCTCTGTCTCCTCCTTCCTTTTGCAGCTGGTAAAACCCGGAGGAAGTAAAACTTGATATAAGGCACTCACCATATCACTGGGCATGCCCAGTAGGCATTGCTGAGTTTGGTGACAAAGGAGTTAACTCTAAAGGAAGCTTGCAAAATAGGTGGTAGAGAAGTCTGAGGTGTGTGGCTTAATTATAGTTTGAGTCCTATGGACATTTAAATTTCTAACCCTATTATATTCCTAGTCTGGGTTCGTTTTAGAGCAGAAAAAGCAGACATATTTATTTCAGTACCACAAGCCTAA